GAATAACCGCTTGCCTGGCAAACTCAGGGTACTGAGTTCAATCCCCAGTACTGCAAAAAAAAAAAAAAAAAAAAAAAAAAAAAAAAAACAGTTGGATCATGTAGACCAATTGCTGTTTTGCACTTTGTTTTTTATTTTGAGACAGAGTTTCATTATGTAGTTCAGGTTTGCCTTGAACTCACAGTGACCCCCTGCTTCAGCCTCCCATCACTGGAATCATGGGTGTGCACCATCACACCTGGCTTTAAATTCACATGCTATTTTCAGGGAAAGGTGGCACTTTCCGTTCGCGCTGCTCTGCGCTGCGACCCAGCATTACCTTTTGCTGTGATCCGGCTCAGGGTGCTCAATCTCCGGCTTTGCTGCTGATGACCTCCTCTCTCGAGGAACCTTAGATGGGAACACAAGGGAAGGGCTCAGTCCTCACCCGGAGAAGGATGGGCCACACCCCCAAATGCGGTCACTCACTACCCATCCCCAGGTCAACCAGGAGCAGAGTGCAGCAGCAGAAGGCTCTGGGGACCCAACACACAAGAGTCTCCATAGTTTACACTGGTTGCCATGGCAACAAGGTGGTCCATGCTCACAGGAACCCAGTGCAAACCAAACATGGAGGGAGCTCCAGGAGGAAGCAGGCTCCGCCCACCCATCTACACTGCCTAACACAGGAGAAGCTTCCTGCTTTCGGTCATCCCGCTGTGCTGCTGCTACTTGCTCAGAGCGACCGCATGGCAGAGATACAGACTGGGACTATCAGGTCCTCCAGAGCCCAGGCTGGTGTCATAGCCCAGGCTGGTGTCATAGCTGGAATGTGCACAGGCTTTGGGACTCCTATGCCCATGACCCAAGTCATAACTCGGTTTGTTCTTTCTTCTTCTTCTTCTTTTTTTAAATTTATTTATTTTATTTATTTGTGTGTGTGTGTGTGTGCCCAGCTCAGCCCACCAGGGGGCGGGGCTGGCTGGCATGTGGTGCTGGGGATTGAACCCCGGTTCCTGTGCTTTGCTGAGCTTGTTCTAAGTAGGTGCTTTAGACCACTGAGCCATCTCACCAGCCCCTCTTCTTCTTTTTTTTTTGGTGGAACCGGGGATTGAACTCAGGCCCTTGCACTTGCCAGGGAAGCGCTTATTCCACTGAGCCATCTCCCCAGCCCCTTCTTCTTCTTCTTCTTCTTTTTTTTTTTTTTTTCAGTACTGGGGATGAAACCCAGGACCCTTGCATGAGCTACTGTCATCGTCTCAGTACATTTTTAGTTTTTTTTTTTTTGAGACAGAGTTTCCATAAGAGGTTAAGTTGCCTAGCTGGGCTTAAACTTGTGTTCTCACATATTTTCACTATAAAAACAAAAACTTTACACTTTTTACAATAGTACTATAACTTTACACTTATTACAAGAAGCCTAACAAGATTTCCTATAAAATTGCCACCCTTGAAGTGCATGTGGTGGTACACACGTGTAATCCCTGCAGTAGGGAGGCTGAGGTAGAAGGATCATCGTGAGTGTGAGGCCAGCCTAGGCCATACAACGAGTTCAAAGTCAGCCTGAGCCTCACAATGAAACCCTGTCTCAAAAAATGACCAAAAAAGGCAGTAACGACAGCACATTGACCATGTGTCCGTCATACCCAGTAACTACTACTCTTACTGTTTGTTTGTTTTTAGAGACAGGGTCTTGCTACATAGCCCAGGCTGGCCTCAGACTCACAGCAATCCTCCTGCCTCAGCCTCCTGAGTGCTGGGATGACAGGCACACATCACCACACTCAATGTAGCCTACACTCTTATTAGCCATCCCTAAATACCAGCTATTGGCCTAAGGGAAGGCAGGAGTCAGTGTCACCCAGAAGACCATGTGCCTGGCCCTGAGGACAGCCTGTGGCTGGAACCAGGTGAGGGGAGACCCTACTGGCATGGGTCCTAGCTGTGGGACCTGAGAGTGAGTGGTGGGGTAGCCAATATGACAAATCATCAGTCAGTGGCAGCTCTATTGTTATTAGGATAAGGAAGATATGAGACAGACCAGGTACCCCCTTCAGCAAACTAGGGCCCTGTGCACACCCAAGCAGGCTGCAGCTTCTGTTTAGTTAAGACAACTGCAAAGCCAGGCATAGCGGCACACGCCTGTCATCCCAGTAGTCAGGAGACTGAGGCAGGGAGATCTCTGAAAGTTGGAGGCCAGCCTGAACCACATATGAGACCCTCTCAAACTTCCCCATCTCAAAGGGGGGGGGGCTAATGCAAATGTCTAAAAACAAACAACAAAATACATCCTGATTTTAGAACTAGCAGGTCTCAGATTTATGTTTTTCTTTCAGCACCTCAATCAGATCAAATCAAAGGGCTTGTGACAAGAGTCACAGAAATGGCCTCCTAAACTACACAGGACAAAAGTCAGCAGGAGTGTTAGTTGGCTCCTTCTTCAGGTCTGAGAACACCGTGGTAAGAGATGCAGGCTAGTGATACAGCTGCCATCTTCTCTGATGGCCAGGACAGCTGGCTCCATCACTCATCTGCAAAGCAACCCTTTGATTCTCTGATCACACAAGTTCAGCTTTGAAGCCCATGAGTCAAAGCTCTCATTAAACTATTTATAGTTGCTACAAAAACCAGCTCGCACACAGGACGGCTGCAGCTGTTTTACAGGCCGCGGGAGCCGAGCTGCGGCAGGCGCACCTTGTAGTAGTCATAGAGCAGCCCCAGTGCTGCCGCGCTGTCTTCATCCCCATTGATGCTCATCATGGCTTTGGTGGCTGCGGTGAGCGGGTTTTCCAGGAATGACTTCCAGGCTTCATCCTCACTGGTATAGGAACGCCGCTGCGGGTAAAGCGCTTCATTCTGGAGGACCAGCACCGGCCTTTTGCTGTAGGGGAATGAAGAAAACACCAGGATAGAGCTGGGCGTGGTGGTGCATGTCGTCATCCCACTATTAGGGAAGCTGAAGCAGGAGGATTACTTGCTGAGCAAGCGTATGCTCTGCAATGAGTTCAAGGCCATCACAACGCCGTCTCAAAAAAGAACACAGTCAGGCCAGGCGATTCACAGATTTTTACATAAACAGATGTAAGGATCCAGAGCAAGGCCACGGGCCTGACCTCCTCTTCCCCTGCAAGTATATATAGTGCTAATACATGTACCCTTCCTCTTCTGATGTCAGACCTTAAGAAATCTTCCTAAAAGCCAGGGCTGAGAGAATATGTGGAAAGAAAAAGGGACCCTAGCAAATCCTTGGGGGCTGGTGGGATTGCTAAAGTTTATTCTCCATCCAGGAGTTTGGCAGGGAATGTGGCCAAAGGGGATTGTCAATCAACAAAGAGGCATAATTTTCGGGCAGGAGAGTTAACTGTTTATCTTAGAGATAAACCCTTAAGAATCTACAATAAATGAAGCCACTGGATAGGCGAAGATTTAAGAAAGAGCAGGGGAAATCTGGTTTTTAAAATCTTTACTAGTTTTTAAGAGCTGGGAGGTAGAGAATGTGCCAGGCAAGTACAGGGCCCTGGGTTCAATTCCCAGCTGCCATATGCTCCTAAAACGTTCACTTGTTTCCCACACAGGCAAAGAACTATTTTGTGGGAACATTGCAGTTTGGTGGGAAAAATTCAGAAAATCAATGGCAAGCCTAGTGAAGCCTATAGAAGAATTAATTTAGAAGACTAAGCAAACATTACTGATTCCAAAAAAATTACAATGTCAACAGTCTCAACAACTGTTCTGCGGGTACTATGTAATAAGTCAATAAAGAGAAAAAACAACACTCACTCTAGCCTAATATTAGGCAGGGTTTTTATTAAAGGAAAAAAAATGTAAATGTTTGGAACTACACTGAATTATCATCCCAATAAGCAAGCGCCCATTGCAACATACACTTGAAATATGTACATGGCCTACAGGCGATCTATCTCTCCTAACAGGGAAGGTAGAGAGAGACTGGTTATCTTTTCAAGTAATCAACAAAGGTTAAGACTTGGCAGACACCCGGGGCCCTTTAAAAACAGGAATTTGGAAAAAAGACAGCAACTTTGCAAAGGAGAGGGAGAGTCTAGAACTCACCCCGGGTCGGGTCGAGTGTGACTACAGTGCTATGGAAGAGCCTAGGTCTCGAACCTATATCTGGTTCCAGGTAGGGTAGGATATTAAGACAAGACAAACACGAGGGTCGTTCAATGGTCCCAGTTTGTTTAAAAATAGATTAGACTAGACACAAATCTTGAATTTTAAGAAAATAAACGACGGGTACAGTGGTGCACACTTGTAATCCCAGAGCTGGGAGGCTGGGGCAGGAGGATTGCAGTCATTTTGAAATCTCCCCATGCTAAATGACACTGTCTCAAAAAAACAAAAACAACCAAAAACACAAAAAAACCCCACCCCCCCTTAAAAGAAGTAAATATACCTGGTGGTATTCCCTGGTAGTGTACGCAGCAGAAGATTTCTGCTGCACTAAGCTATTATTAATGGCCTAATAGCTACTTCCAAAGACTATGACAGCCCTTGGCCCATCTAATTCCTGTAATGCTAGTTTTTCAGCTTTCCTTCTTTTTCCACCCCCATCCCAAATTTGTACCAGCATCAGAAAATAAATATTTTTCCAATGGCTTTATGTCTGCGATCACCCTCAGGGTGTTTTATTATTTCCAAAGTGTGCCTAAGGCCAGAACGTTAGCTTTGGAAAATTTTCCCTTATCTGAGCTATAAGTCAAGACATAAACACCAAAGCAGTTGGTTCGGGCTTCTTAGTGGCCCTCCAGCCATGACCAAGCCCTGAAGGCTCCTGGGTACTGGGGGGTCTGAAACAGAGTTCAAGCCAGTAATTAATTAAACTATATATTCTACACCCCAAAAGAAATGCCTTGTAGATGACTCCACAGATAGGATATCCGATCTCATCCAGAAAAACAGCACACCTAAAATGGTCCTTGGCAAACACTTATAAAGCTATCTGCCTTGAATTTACTGGTACTAAACGGACTTGATTGGCTCAGAGTGAATTTCTTTAAAAGAAAAAAAAAAAAAGTGGTTTTTCTGGTACCACCCCTGGCCCCCAGCACTCTGGGAAGCTGAGGCTAGAGGGTCCCAAGGTTCCCAGGACCTTGCACTTGCCAGGCAGGGGCTTATGCCGCTGCACTACCTCCCTGGCCCCAAGGGTCCCAAGTCTGAGTCCTGGCTGGGCAACTTAGTCAAAGCTTACCTCCGAATAAATAATACTAACGCTAATATTAATACTAATACTAATAAAATAAGGAGGACGAGAAGAAGAAAAAGGGCTGAGGATGTAGCACTGTACAGTGGTCCTGGTTCAATCTCCAGTAATGGGAAAAAAAAAAATTTGAGACAGTTTCACAGTGACCTAAAAGTTGCCAAGTGCACAGAGGCCAGCTCCTGGCTCTGGATCGCCTGGTCTTAAATCCCATTCCCTTTGCCAAACAAAATACTTTTAAGTCGCGAGCTCCCGGGGCGCGCTCCCGCGCATTCTGCCCTAGCCGACCACCGCGATTCCAGCCTCCTCTCGCTACTCCCGAGCGTCCAGACCGGACGGGAAGCCCGGCGCTGCCCCGGGCGTTACCAGCGGCGATGCCAGCGGCTTCCTCGGCCCCGGGCGATGCCAAGGCTCCCATGCGTCCCCTCCGCCCGCTGCCTGCTCTGGGTCGCTGCACGGTGATGCAAGCCGCGAGCCGCGGCGGCTATGGGCTGCGGGCCCAGGGAAGCGGCGGAAGCTGGCGAGGCTGTCCGGGCCGGGCCCCGATCGCGGCGCCGCGCGGCCCGGCCCTGCCCGGCCCGCGCCTCACTCACTTGTCGTACTCCTGTGTCATCGCGCCCGCTCGCTTGCTGGCCGCTGCCGGGCCGCAGAACTGGACTTTCGGGTTGGGACAGTACACCCGACCGGGGGGAGGAGGCGGCGGCCACGGCGCTGGCGGGTCCGGAGCGGCGGCCCGGACGGGTTGGGTTCGCTTTTCTCGCTCTGAGCCGGCTCCGCGCGGGCTGCGCGCACTGGGCACCGGGTGCTGGCGCTCATTGGCCGGCGGTGAGTTGGCCAGGGGCGGGGTCTCAGAGGGCAGCGCTTTACGATTGGGTGGATAGCGGGACGCCGGGGCGGGGCCGATAGGGCCGGCTGGGGGTTCCGCGCGCTCCGCGTGGCGGTGCCCCGGGCTGCTGTGCTCCGGACAGTGCCGTTCGCAGAGCGCCCCCTGACCGCCGCGGGAGCCCCTCAGCCTTGGCGCACACCTGTAGCCCCGCGAGCTCCAGGACCGTGCGCTCACCTGGCATGGACTCCTGTGCCAGGCTGGGGTTCCGACGCCCTGTCCTCCTCCCGGCCGTCGTCTTTTCCAGCCTGCAAACGCTCCTGCAGACCCCTTGTCCTCTCACCGTCTGCTCTGATCCCTGCCACCTCCCCACCCCCAGGCCCGGGCCAGCAGCAGAAGCACGTGGGTGCCAGCCTAGCTAATGAGCTGGACAAGTCCCTGCTTCCCAAGCGTGCCCGAGGGACCGCCCCGAGGTGTTAAGAAGGGGCAGTTTCTGGGGAGCCTGGTGGAGCAGGGCTTGGAGCTGGGATAAGGCCCAGGCACTGGGGCAGGGCCCGGGGGGAACCTCTGTGCGAGCTGGAGTCAGCGCTTGGTGGTTGACTGGAGGCTAGGACAGGAGGGGACTTAGAGCAAGGGGAGCCCATCTTGTAGGACTCAAGAGGCTTTGCAAGGATTTGGGATGTACCCTGAGAAGGGGGTGTGTTGCTGTGAACTTGTGATTTATAATAAGCGCCCCCGCCCCCGCCCCCGCCGACTCTGCCGCGTTTGTTATTATTTGATTTCTTGATGGTGGCTGTTCATCCTGAGGCAAGATGGATCTCAGCGCAAGGATAAAACTCGAGGCATTTGCAGGAAAACGGATGCACTTGGAGACCATCAGGTTAAGGGAAGTAAAACAGACACACAACTTCAATAGCATAAGGCTTCTCCTCTATGAAAAACTCAGGATAAAGAGCAAAATAAGATAATAGAAAGTAGAGAGAATAGAATTTTTTTTAAATTTTTCTCAAATGGATGAGATGGAAAAAATAAAGAATTGAAAGAAAAAAATGGAAACAACTTTTGCAAATAGAAAGGGGCTAAAAACTGGGAGGAGAGGGGTAGGGCAGAAAGAATGAAGACACTATATAAATAGGCCTCCTCACAATAAACGTGATCATTATGCACTGCAAACATGGACTCATAACAAATTTTAAAAAATAAAATAATCTTGGGCTGGAGATGTAGCTCAGGTGCAGAGCACTTACGTACAACACAAGGTCTAGGTGTGATCCTCAGCTCTGAAAATGGATACAATTCACCTGCAGAGCAGTAGGGGGACCATGCAGGCAGCCATGGAGGTAATAACTCCCAATGGCTATTGGGAGCCATTAGTGGAAGCCTGAGGGAAGCAGGGTATTCTGGGAGATTTAGAATTCAGAACCAAAGGGAGGTGGTGAACGTCTGAGGGCCAAGGCTTTCAGTTGAACAATTGGAAGCAGTGATTTGCTTACTGCTGGGTCCAGTGGAGATGGCTTAGGAGGGCAGAAGACCTTTTCACTAAGGATCAGAGGAGCTGTGTCAGGGAGATGGTTAGCTGTGAGGCTTGGTCTAAGGGAGGGGTCTGGGCTGGAGCTAGACTTGAGCCAGGCTCTCTCCAGGCTGTGAAGGAGAGGCGAGGATGTGATAGGCCTGGAGCCTGGAGCCCACAGTGGAGACTGGCAGCAGAGACCAAAAGCATGAGAGCCAAGGCCTGAGCAGAGCAGTCAGCAGGCCCTGTGCTGGGGACCAGGCATGCGAAAGTTGTCCTGATCCCAACCAACACCAGCTACCCCTTGACCCCTGCCACGGTTGTTCCTGTTCCCAGGTCTGGGACACAGGTAGCAACCTCATCCCCACTTGTCATAGTTGTGTGCTTCAGTCCATGTCCTCTGGTCCTGCGGACAACACGGGAGCCTTGCAGCCTGCTCTTTCTTCCTATGCAGTTGTTTCCTGTTTCCATTACACTCTCAAAGTGAGCTAACTTAGTGAGCTAAAAGTGGTGGGACATGCCTGTCATCCTGGCACTAAGGGAAACTGAGGCAGGAGGATCACGAGTTTCAGCCCAGCCTGAGCAATTCTGTGAAATTAGTGAGACCCTCTAATGAGAATTAAAAATGTAAAAAAGGGCTGGGGACAAAGCTCATTAGAATGTTGCTGGGTTTGTTCCCAGTACCACGAAAAGCAAAGTAAAGCCAGGGATGTAGCTCAGCTGCAGAGCACCTGCCTGGCAAGCATGAGGTCATGAGTTCCAGTCCCACTACCAAAAAAAATAATAATAATAATAAAATAAAATACAGATTCTATGTTGATCCATTGTACTCCTTACAAAGCCCAAGTACCTCAGCAGCTCAGCACCCTTTCTAACCACCTTCACTTGGGACTTTGCCATTGCCAGGAAGGTGCTTATGCTGCTGAGCTATCTTCCTCAGCCTCTACCTTCACTTGTTAAACTCTAGGATGGAGTAGTGGTGTTAGTTTTAATTCTGATCTGTGATTCAGGGTCTCCCTAGATATCCCAGGCTGGCCTCCAACTCCTGGGCTCAGGCGATCCACCTGCCTCAGCTTTCCAGTCACTGGGACTCTGGCACACACTACTGTGTCCAGGCAGGTAGTTTGAAAGAAGGAGAATCTAAGTAGCATCCCACGGCACAGGATTTTCCATAGGACACTAACTTGGGGCCCCTCTCTCAAGGAAGATGACAAGGTCCTCAGGTACCTAGTGTGGTACCTGGTCAGGGCAGATGGCAGATGGAGTTACAGACCCAGCTCTTGCACACACTCTGTTCCTTAACAGCAAGGCCATATCAGGAGAGTCCTTCTCTGCTGGCCTTAGTGGAGAAAATGGTGGAAAAGGCCATCTGGTCCCTGCAGCACCCATGTTAACAGGCCCAAAGACCGCTGCCATGACAGCGTGGGTTCCCAACTCCTCAGCGAGCATTCCAGGTCCTCCTCCATCTGCCTCCAAAGTCTGTCCTATTAGAAGTCCCAGCACTCTGTGCGCCTGGTGCAGTGTCCCCTGGACATGTCCTGAATTATAGGCCCACTCTGTCCAGTTGTCCTTGTCTACATCTTCTTTGCATGCCAACGTCGCCAGGTGTCGTGGTGCACACTTGTGATCCCAGGACTCAGGAGGCTGAGGCAGTAGGATCACAGTGAGCTCAAAGCCAGCCTGGGCTACCCAGTGAGACCCTGTCTCAATCACAGTGGAGCTGCCATGCCCTGACATCCAGCCTTCTGTCCCACCCAGGCCACCACACAATTGTGTCACCACTTTTGGATAGTGCCAAGAAAGTGCAATCTGGAGAAATAGGACATGGGAGGAAGCAGTTGGGGAATTCCACCTTGCCCTCAGGAAAGTCACGGAGGCTCTATGCCTCAGGTTGCTCATCTGTGGACTCTAGGTAATAATACCTATGGCTGAGCATGTGGGGGTGCATGCCTGTGACCCCAGCACTCAGGAGGCTGAGGCAGGGGATTGCTGTGAGTTTAAGACCAGGCTGGGCTACATAATGAGACCCTGTTTCACAAAGGGGGGAAAAGCCCTTATGTGATCCCTTGGATGACAAAACACTGCCAGAGGAAGTTCACTGTCAGTATTCCCCTAAGTAGTGGTGACATCTGCTGACCTCTGCAACATCTGTCTGTGCCAGATGATGGGTGTTTAAAAATGCAACATACAGCTGTACTCTATGTATCATAAACTTAGGAATGATAGACAGATGGAAATTTAGTATTTATTGAGTTCCAGTTATGTGCCTGGCATTGTTTGGAACATTTTTCTTAAACAAAAACTAACCCAGGCCTTAGTAATGAAAAAAAGACCTTTTAAAATTTCTGAGACAGGGTCTCGCTATGTAGTGCAGGCTAGCCTTAAACTCGAGGCAATCCTCCTGCCTCAGCTTCCTGAATACTGAGCACTGGGATCACAGGCGTGCGCTACCACGCCTGGCTTGTATATCAAATTCCCAGTGTCCTCGGTCTCACTGTTGTGAACATGCTTGCTTGAGGTTTTGCTCCTGCCCCTGCCCCTGCTGGGGTGCTGGAGTCTCAGATGAATCTCACCAGCTCCCTGGGCTTTAACCCAAAGTGATCCAAGCAGCCAGGGCCCCAGCCTGCTCGTCTGTGAATGGACAGCAGCAGGAGAAACTATTGGAGTTGGGCGTTGCAGTCTGCTGGCACCTGGGAGGACCTAGATACCTGGCGTGCTTGTCTGATGGCTTCACTGTCATCAGTCATTCCAGTGAAGGCCCTGTGGTTGCAACACAGTGCCCAGGAAGCATTGGGCTTAGGCACTCTGGCCTGAACCTCCCTAAGCCTTGCTTCCTATGACTGACAGGGCCAGCCACTGCCACCCCAGGAGTACCCCTGAGATGGGGCGGACAGAGCCTCGTGGCTCCCGGGCCCGTGTTCCTCTGCTAGACTCCAGTGTAGGCCACTGTAGTCAGACATCTTTGCTACTCAATGGCAAGAGGTCAGCTGTTATTTATTTATTTATTTATTTATTTTTGTTTTGTTTTGACAAGATCTCACTTTGTAACCCAGGCTGGTTTTAAGCTCATGGTGATCCTCCTGCCTCAGCCGCGTAAGTGCTGGGATGATAGGCATGTGCCACCACCCCTGGCCTCAGCTCATTTTCTAGATGGGGCCAAGTAAAGAGGGGCTCAGTCACCTCCCCAAAATTGACATTTCATTATCTAGTTTTTTTTTTTTTGTTGTTGTTGTTGTTGTTTGGTTTTGATGGAACTGGGGATTGAACTGTGGCCTTTGCGTTTGCCAGGGAAGCGCTTATTCCACTGAGCCATCTCCCCAGCCCCTCATTACCTAGTTTTTAATGGCAATTTCTTGCAGCTCACAATTTCCTTTACTTGAAATCCTAGTACTGTAATTTTGCGTGTGTGTGTGTGTGTGTGTGTGTGTGTGTGTATTTCTGTGATTGTGGGGATTGATTTCAGGGCCTCTGCACTGAGCTACAACCCCAGTCCTTTTTTTTTTTTTGCAGAACCGGGGATTGAACTCAGATTCTTGAGTTTGCCAGTCAAGCGCTTATCCTACTGAGCCATCTCCCCGGCCCCTACCCCAGTCCTTTTTATTTTTTACTTGGAGCCTCACGGAGTGACCCAGGGTGGTCTGGCCTTCAAGAGCGCTGGGACGGTCAGCTTCCACCCCGCCACCGCCACCCCTCAGCTACTCAAGTATTTTTGCACTTTTGGTTGGTTTTTTTTTGTCTGTCTTTTCTCAACCATGATAGGATCAATTCCACTATTTTGGATTTTGAGTTACTCCTCTTGGGGATAATTAGAAAAAAGAAGAGCAGGGATTGGGAAGGGGAAAAGGGAAAAATCCAGAGAATCTGGCGATAAGCAGCAGCAGGGAGCCGCTGTGGGCGGGAGCCGTCTCGGTGCCCCGGGAGGTTCCCGGAGCAGAGCGGGCGGGCGGCGGGGGTGGCCGGGCAGGCGCGTGCTCGGTCCGCAGCAAGCGCGCGTGCTACAACCGCAGCTGCGCGCCGTGGGATCGGGCACCCGCCGAGCCTCACCTGCCTAGATCCCCTTTAATCTTTCCCATCAAAGCTCCTTAAAGCCTCGTAAAACTCGGGCTTACTCTGCTCTGGGGCCAGTGTGGGGTCAGCAGATGGGAAACAAAGTGGAAGCAGAACCTGGAAGGTTTCTGAGGAGCCTCGGGAGGTGAATGATCAACCACAGCTCACTTCCTTTATTGGCTCATTTTGTGGGACTGGGGGTTGAACCCCTGGGCCTTCACACTAAGCTGCAACCCCAGCCCCCTTTTAAAATTCTGAGACGAGAGTCTTGCTAAATAGTGCAGGTTGGGCTCCAACTTTCCATCCTCTTGTCTCATCCTCCCAGAGTGCTGAGATTACAGGTGTGCATACCTGGCCTGGCTAAAACTCATTTTGGCAGGAGATGTGTAGAATGTCCCAGATACACACCTCTGTCTTGTGGTCTCTGGCAACACTGGGTTTCTCAAAAGCACTCAAGTCCCTGAGCTACAGTCTCCCAGACCCCCTGGGCCAGGGTGGACTCCTGTGCGCATATCTTTCTGCCTAAAGTTGCTCCATCCAGAGAGCTGGGGCCCTTTGAAGATGTCTCATGCAGCATGACAGGGTGGGGAGCTCTGGAAGGAGAGATGTGTGTCCTCTGCACAGAGCGACAGAAAAGAGCGTTCTTGTTGACAGCAATGACTAGCCAGGGAGGCCTCAGTGTGAGCTGCTGCAGCTTACTGAGATAGGAACAGTGGCTGTGTAGACAGAGACATACTCTGGTGACCTCCCAGACCCAGCCACTGGGCCTGTAGACAACAAGGAGCCATCAGAGGACGTGCAGCCCCAGAGTGTTATTAAAGCTATTTTTGGAAAATAACTGGCTGAGGAATGATAACTGCCTGGAGAGGAGAAAGGTGTTGCAATCCTGGGAGAGAGGTGAGAGGGCTTGAGCTGGGCAGTCACTATGTGGGCGGGAGGCGCCAGCTGAAGTGTCCAAGCAGAGACTGATGAACGGTTGGGGTGATGGGGAGGGAGGGTGTTGGAGATTTATAGATGGGGTGATCAGAAGGAGGGTGGTGTCATCGAGGGGAGAGGCAGGGAATACAGAGGAAGAACAGGTTTGGGGTGGAGGTGGGGGTTGGTGAGGATTTTCTCTTGTCACAAATGCCAGCATGAGCAAACTGGGGTCCTGGGACTTTCAGCTGCCAGCAACTGGGATTGAGAGTTTTGCAGGGCAGTGCTGTGAGTCGGAGAAGCCTGTAGACTGGCTCTGAGGCTTTCTGGTGACCCTGGGCGACCGCTGGCTCTCCAAGTCTCAGGGTCCTCCCTTGTGAAGTGCAGGGACCAGACTGTGGGTTGTGTGGGGGAGGGGACGGCGCTGCACGCTGCAGGCCCCAGACAGATGCTGGACGCTGAATGCTGGCTTTGCCCTGAGCTACATTCCCAGCCCTTTGCGTCTTTTTGCTTTCTTTTGTTTTGTTTTGAGACAGGGTCTTGATAAGTCACTCAGGCTGCGTTTCAACTTGCAATTCTGCTTCAGCCTAGAATGCTGAAGTTGTAGGTGAGCTTCCCCTTAGGTTGATGATGATGATGAATTGTCTTGTGGTGCTGGGGATTGAACACAGGGCTTTGCACATGGTAGGCCATCATGTAGCTTCCCGCGACAAAAGTGAGCCTCAATTTTTCCCTTGTCTTAAAAGTATTTCAATTTAATTAAAAAGCGACATTTGAAAGAGACAGCTGAATCTCTTCATTAACTAGTGAGGCCTGCATTGGGTACAGGGGTCTGGTGGAAGCCTTGGGGCACCCTCCGCCCCAAAGGCTAGGTGTGGACCTCGGCCATAGGACGTGCACACGCTGGCGATGGTGGCTCACACCCGCCATCCCAGCACTCAGAGAGGCTGAGACAGGAGGATCACAAGTTCAAGCCCAGCCCAGGGATATAGCTCAGGGGCACAAGCCCCTGCTTAGTAAGCACAAGGTGTGGGTCCTGAGTTCAATTTCAGATGCCACAGCATAAAACAAGCCCAGACCCTTTCTAAAAAACAAAAACAAAAAAATAAATAAAGAAGGGGATGGGGAATTAGCACAGGGAGAAGGCCTTGGGTTTAATCTCCAGTAGCTAAGAGAAAAAAGGAAGGAAGAAGAGAAAATAAAGGATGCGCTGGAGATACTCTGGAAGTGAAACTACAGAGGCTCAGGTCACTTAGGGAGCGGTGACGTCACCGGCCAGGGCAGCACGTGACACCAGGCCCCGCCCAACTACACTGGTTGGGTGAGGCGGTGCTGGGCGACTACCGTGAAAGCATCACCTAGGTGGCTGCGAACCCTAGTGCGGGTCCCTGAGCCTGGCAGACACCTTTTGGAGATTTAAAAAAAAATTTTTTTTGGAACCAGGGATTGAACTCAGGCCCTTGTGCTTGCCAAGGAAGCACTTATTCCACTGAGCCATCTCCCCAGTCCCTTGTTCTTTAAATTCTGAGGCAACTTTGGCCACATTGCCCAGACAAGGCTTTAATTTGTGGCTTTCCTGCCTCAGCCTCCTAGGATGCTAGGATCATCAGGCATGTGTGAAAAATCTATGAACACTGTTTGACAGAAAAAACTAGAAAATGTAGGAAGCTGCTGTTGCTTACCTGAGGGTGACCACAGCCGTGGCTTCATCAGTCACCCGCTTGTTTCCTTCCAAAGGGTTGGCACATCAGGAATATCTGGGGGTGAGGACAGGAAGCTGTGCAGTCCCAGCAAGCTTGGTCCCGGGCTGCCTCTTTCATTTTAGGTCATGCTGGACCAAATCATTGGGTGTAATCAGTGAGGACGTGGTGAGAAAAGCCATTGCATTAAGTGGTATTCGGCTTCAAAATTCCTCTGGGAGCCTGCAGTCACCTCGTCCAAGCCAAATATCCATGAAACCCTGGCTGATTGTTTAGAAGGGCAAAAGGCCAAGTGAGCTGAAATAGCAGGTTCTTAATTTATGAAGTCAACAAAACTGTCTTTGTGAGCTCTTCCCCGAGCACTGCACTCACTGAAGTGGCAGAGGGACACCTTGCGAGATCGGGCACTGTGCACATTCACTCAGCTTTCAGTCAAAAGTTGCCAGCTACTTACTCAAGATAAAAATCCACACTATTAACTATGTGTAGTGCATAATAATTCACAGGGCATTTGCCTTGAACTCACCATGCAGAGCAGGCCCTCTTACACTTGCAATGATCCTCCTGCCTCAGCCTCTGCTCTCTGCTCCTCCTCTCCTGTGAGCAGTGTGTCTTTTTTTTTTTTTTCGGAACCAGGGATTGAACTCAGGCCCTTGTGCTTTGCCAGACAAGCACTTATTCTACTGAGCCATCTCCCCGGCCAGCAGTGTGTCTTTCTGTGTAGAACTGGCACTATTCTTTTTCTCTCGGTGGCTCTGTGGAGGGCTGGATGACAAGGTCAGCAGGTACTTTATAGGTGCCTGGCTACCAGGAGCCAGATCCTGGGGCTACCCTGGTCCACTCTGGTGTCAGGAGTGGCTGTCGCTGGCTGCAGTGGTGCATGCCTATGATCCCTGGCCTTGGGCGGCTGAGGCAGGAGGATCACCGCGGATATAGTGAGACCTGCTTAAAAAACTGCAGCCAAACAGAAACACAGTGAAAGCAGAGGGGCACAGCGGTGCAGGCCTGATTCCAATGCCTAGCAGGCCAAGGTAGGAGGATCGCCACAAATTCATGACCAACCTGAACTACATAGCAAGACCCTGTCTCAGAAACCCAAAACCCACACCCATATAAATATAACAAACACAAATTCCTGGATTTATATAATTTATTATTGTTTTAATTTTTTCAAAGAATATATATCACTTTAAAAAATGCAAAGTTCACCTGTTTTACAATATACATTTTTACACAAGGATGTTCAGTTTATATATATATATATATATGAAATTGTATTTTCCATAATTCCACATTACTGTCATTTGCACAAAATTTTTTCAACAGTGTCTATTTCCTTTTTTCACTATCTTCTCCCTTTCCTGAATCTTGAGTTCTTCTTGGTTTCATTGTATTTCTTCTTAAAAAGTTTCTTTTCAATTAAGCTCACTTCATCATGGAGGAAGGCGGGCTTTATTCTCAGTAGGAAGGAGAAAAGGTTTAGGAGAAACTGATAGCTCAGAGAAAAATTGGATTCTTCATAAGTGGTCACATGCTTGCAGTAGCTGAAGAGGAAGGCAAGGGAGCAAGTTATCTTCCTATGGTAACTCAGCAATGTGCTGGACACCGCATGGTGGTGCACGCCTGCAATCTCAGCATTGGTGGCTGAGGCGGGAGGATCGCCATGAGTTTGAGGCCAGACTGGGCTACACAGCCTGACCCTGGCTCAAACCCAAAACCACCACAAATCACAAATCACCTACCTCCTGCAGAACTTCTGTGTACTCAGCCAGTATAAGGAGTTCTTGGTCAGCAGCGCCTGGCCTTTCTCTAGGAGGACACCCCGGAGGCTGTGGTTGTGGAAACAGGTTCGGTTAGGGTCACCTTCGGCCCAGCTGAGCTGGAAACTTGAAGGGCTTTTCTTTGCAACAGTCAGTGTTGGACCGGCCAGGGCACTGAACTGTTTCTGGAGACTCACCACCACTTCTGGAGATGGAAGAAAAGGTAAGGAAAAGCGAAAGAGTAGGCTGTGTTACATCCAGGCCAGCCTGCAGTGTCCTTGGCAGTGGCACAGGTATGCTGGCTTCTTAGTTTTGATAAAAGATGTTACAGCAGTGAATGAGGATAGCATCAGCAAGATAGAAACTGTGTAAGGGCAAAGAACCATGCATTTAAAAATGATTAAAATGGAGGTGCCCCGTTAGCGCAGTAGGTAGCGTGTCAGTCTCATAAAAATGATTAAAACGGTAAATTTTATGTATACTTGATCAAAATTTACAAAGAGCTAAGAGGGGCTGGGGAGATAGCTTGGCGGTCTAAGCACCTGCCTCGCAAGCACAAGGATCCAGGTTGGATCCCCAGTACCACATGCAGTGCCTGCCCCAGAACCCCTGGAGTGTCATGCCAGCTACCGAAACCGGGCATGGTGGTGCATGCCCGTAATCTCAGTGCTGGGGAGGCTGAGACAGGAAGATCACTACAAGTCCAAGCAGCATAGCGAGACTCTGTACTAAATAAATAAATAAATAAATGAATAAAAATAAAAAGAGGTAAGGGTGGTACAGATGTCATCTCAGCACTCTGGGAAGCTGAGGCAGGTGGCTTGCAAGTTCAAGGCTACCTTGAGCAACTCCACAAGATCCTGTCTCAAAAAGAAAAAGAAAAAAAATATCTATCTATCTATCTATCTATCTATCTATCTATCTATCTATCTATCTATCTATCTATAGATATATATTTAAGGCCTGGAGATAAGACTTGCAGTGAAGGCCCAGGGCTCAGCCCCCAGTACTGACCAAGAAAATAAAAGTGCAGTCTAGGAGCAAGCCCCTCAACAGTTCGTGCAGCCTGGGAAGTCTGGCATTTTACACTTTGTTGGGAACCTCAGGGCAGCTATGAGCGACGACAATCTCTGAGCTAACAGATTCTGTGAGATTTCTTGCAGAGGCTGTCGTGCTTTGCACTCCAGAACATTTTCAGAAGTACAGAGCTGCCTTGGGCTCTGGAGCCTCAGCCCAATCTATGTAGCTCTTGGACAGCGTCCCTGCCACCTGCTTACCGGAAGCCTCAACTCACCCCTTCTCTTGTACGCCACAGGCTTGTCAATGTGGGAGTGGTAGAGTGGCTTTTCGCTCTTCCACATGAACCTGTGAAAGGCAGGAGGTCAGCTGGAGCAGGAGGAACTGGGTGCACCCAACACACTCTGCACCATGTCCAGAGGCTGTGCCTATGCCGATGCAGTGGACAGTGTGGGCTCGGGGTTCACTGCACAGGTCAGGGGCTCCAAGTGGGAAATGGTGAGGGGCGGGTGTGCTACTGATTATACCACACTGAGTGGAAAGGGCAGCTGGGTGTGGTGGGGCATCGCTGTCATCCCAGCGGTCAGGAGGCTGAGGCAGGAGAAGCAGAGTTCAAGCCTGTCTCAGTGGATGTGGTTTCTCTCTGCAGAGCTCGCCTGCTGCTTCTGCTCCAAGTGAAGCCACCTGAGAAACAGCTGTCCCTCTCTGCCTCTGCCCTTCACCAGGGCTAAGTCCTGGCACTTCCAGCCAGGTTCACGCATAGAAAGGAGAGTGAGAGCCAGGCTCCCCAGCTCAATGCCTGGGAGTCCATCGAGCAGGATGCAGCTGGCTGGGGATGGTCACTGGCCGAGGGGGCAACACTGGACTGACCTGGCTCGCAGAGCCCCCACAGGCAGAGACTAAGAGTTGCTGCAATTCTGGGGTCACCTGCAAGCACTCCTGCACTCAGGCCTGGGGGAGGTGTACACTACTGCAGTGTCTGGGTCTAGTGACCATGTGTAAACTGCCACGCAGACACGTTGGTCTGCAACTGAGACAACAGTGCTCTCTTTTTTGGAGGAGGAGGACTTTTTTGAGATAAATCTTGGAGTATTGTTCAGTCTGGCTTTGAACTCATTATACAGCCCAGGCTGGTCTCAAACTCCAGGGATCCTCCTGCCTCAGCCTCCAGAGTGCTAGGAGTTCACCTGGTCTGCACACCCCTGCCACAGAAGTTCACCTCTTCTGTTGAAGTGGAACTATGCTGCGTTTCACCCTTTCACTCTCACTTGGCAGCGCACAGGTTACACGTGCCCACCCTGGCTCTTTCTCATGGCCCGGGGCACTGCACAGCATGCTGTCATGCAGCTGGTTCCCGCTCTCTGCTGCGGGATGCCTGGCTGCTGCCAGCAGGCAGTTGGTGCTGCGGCTGCTCTCAGTGTCTCACATGGATTCTCGTGTGGACATCAGCTCCCCACACTTGGGTAAAGGGTAGAGAGTGGATGGCCCTGGGTGTGGCCCTGCGCGTGTGTGACTTTGGGAGACACTGCCATGGCTGCACCGCCCTGTCACCACATGCAGAATGGCCAGGTTTGGGTTTTTTAAAGCTATTCTGAGATATTTCACTGTGGGTTTTTCCCTCTTGAAACGGTCTCTGTGGTTTAGGCTGGATAGGACTCACAGGGTGTTGCTCCACAGGGAAAAGCTTGTCTGGCATGTATGGTACACTGGGTTCTAGACCCCACACCTACAGAAAAATGCTATGTAGAGGGTGACTGCTTTTAAGACAAAGTCACAATGCTGATAGACTTCCACTTTCAAATGACATGGAAATAAAGTAGGTGAACCTAAGAAATGCGAAGAGAAGTGGGTGTGGCGCTGCAGGCCTGCCATCCCAGGACTCTGGGATGCTGAGGCCGGAAGGTTGCAAGTCCAAGCCCAGCCCGAGCAACTTTTTTTTTTTTTTTTTTTGCGGAACTGGGGATTGAACTCAGGCCCTTGTGCTTGCCAGGCAAGTGCTTATTCTACTGAGCCATCTCCCTGGCCCCATAGCCTGAGCAACTTAGCAAGACCCTGTCTCAAAATAAAAAACGGCCGGAGAGATAGCTCAGTGGGATAAGCGCTTCCCTGGCAAGCGCAAGGGCCTGAGTTCAATCCCTGTTTCTGCCATAAATAAATAAATAAAAATAAAAAACAAAAAGGGGTGGGGTGCAGCTCAGAGGAGGGGCGCCCTGGTGCTTCCCAGCACCACTGAAGAAGAGATAACATACTTGGCTCGAGCTTCCTCCCACTCCTGTTTCTTCTCCTCAAGAGTCTTTTTCATGACGCAGTACCACTTTCTGAAACTGAACCATGGCTTCTCTGGAAGAAACAGGGCTCGAGGTTACTGGGGAAACGGTGAGCCGCCCACTGGTAATGGCACTTCAGGCCTCCATCCAGGGACACAATAGAACACACAGCTCCCGCCCTTATCTGCCTTTTCACTGCCATCTCCCCTCTTCCTGCCTCTCTCTCCTACACGTACATAACTCCTGGACAGCAGGGACATACTCTGCACCTTTCCCCAAACCTGCTACCTGCCACACAGGTGTGGCACCCACCGGGAGGCCTACAGGCCTGCCAACGCCTGCACTGAGGGACATGCGACTAATATGTGTGCGAACCTCAGCTCTGAGCCCTGGATCTAGCCTTCCTGGGGCCCCGGGTCCCAGCCCATCTTTTCCAGTCTTACTTACTCCCATATTTTTCAAGCTATTTTTTTTTTTTTGCGAAACCGGGGATTGAACTCAGACCCTTGCACTTGCCAGGGAAGCGCTTATTCCACTGAGCCATCTCCCCGGCCCCTCTAGTCTTACTTAAACTATGGCTGTCTAGAGATCAATAGGAAAACAGATGGCACTGGGCAGCCGTGTTCCAGACGGGGCAGTTAGAGTGACGAGAACTGGGGGAAGCAGGTATGAAATAATAATCTTCTAGTGAAGATGGCTGCTTCAAAGTCCAGCTAAAAATCTTTTCAACTCATCAGCAGACCCACCACCTGCACCTACCAGCCTGGAAGCCCACTGGCCACAGAGGAGTGGAAGTGCCCAAGGCGTCAAGGGTGCCTGCGGGGCTGAGAGGGCTGTGTGCGCCCTCGCTAGGTCCCGACCTCCCTTCCAGGCAGCCAGGACCACGAGGGGACAACAGGCCCCGCCCTGCAGAGGGCACAGGTCTCTGCAAGCAGGGACCTGAGGCCTAAAGGGGAGGCAGAGCGCTCCCTTCATCATGCGTCTAAGTGGCCTGTGAGCACCGTCGTCGGCACCTCAAGGGGCCTCCAAGGAGCGAGCCAGTGTATGCTACTGCACAGATGCCTCAGGCAGCGCTCAGAGGGCAGGGCCACTCTGCACAGCTTCTGGAAAGAGCACTAAGATGTCGTTCTTCGAGCTCCTAAAAGCCGTGGCATAAATTATACTAACAAGAACAGAAAGAGAGTGGGTCTGAATTTAAGAACTTGAATATTAGCTGGGCGTGGTGGAGAAGCCATGTAATCCCAACACCCGGGAGGCTGAGACAGGAGGATCGCAGTAAGTTCAAGGCCAGTCTGAACTACATAGTAAGATCTCATTTAAAAAAAAAAAATCAAATGTTTGCCAAACCTCATAGAGTTGTTCGTAGCCCAGTTATTGTCAGATGATAAATACAAATTAAAAAAATAACAAGTGAGATGTAGTTCTTCCCTCTAGAGATTCCCACTCTGTTCATCACTTCTAAAGCACTTGTTATGGGCCGGCCTGATAGCTCAGCAGACTAACGTGCCTGCTTACGCAGAGTGGCCTAGTTCAATCCTCGGCATGCATGCTGGCCCTGCCCCTGGGATGCGCTGAGATGGTGACTGAGACTGGTGTGGTGGCGAGCGCCTATAATCCCAGCTCTTGGGAGGCTGAAAACAGGAGAATCACTACGAGTGCGATCTAAGTAGTGAGACCCTGTGGACCCTGTACGCCCTGTCCTAAATACATAAAAATAAAATAAAGCACTTGTTACATGCCAGATATTCTTTCTTTCTTTTTTAAAAAATCTTTTATGTATTTGGTATAAGGTCTCATTGCACAGCTCAGACTCGTAGTGATCCCCTTCCTTCTCTCAGCCTCCCCAGCACTGGGATTACAGATGTGCACACCATGCCCAGTTTGGGGACCAGCACAGTGTGCCAGGAATTCTCAGGCTGGCACAGCATGAGGCACCAGGGATTGAACATGGGTCCTTGCATTTACCAAGCAGGTGCTTAGACTGCTGAGCTATCTCCCTAATCTACATGCTAGGTATTCTTTTTCTGTTGTTTTGTTTTTTTGAGACAGGCCCTTGATAGGTAGTTCAGGCCAGCCCTGAACTCACCATGTAGCTCATTCTGGCCTTGAGCCCTTGCGATGGAGTAAGGAAAAGCAGAGGGACAGCACGAGCCAAGACTGAGGCCTAGGGCCAGCCAAATAGCTCAGTGGATTAAAGCGCCTACAAGCGGGCTCAGGAGCTGGGGGTTTGATCCCCAGGACTGCTGTGCTGGTCCCGTCCCCGGGGTACACTGAGATGGATTGAAAAAGCATGGAGGCATGTATGTGTAATCCCAGCTCTTGGGAGGCTATAAACAGGGGGATCCCTACGAGTCTGATCTAGTAGTGAGACCCTGAACACCCTGTAGCCCCTTCCCTAAAATAAAATAAAAAAGACTGAGGCCCACACGGCAGGAGTCACTGCTACCCACCTCGTAGGCAGGTGGCTGTGGTAACTGATAACCCTGGGACAGGTGCAGTGTACACACACACGTGTGCATGTGTATTACTCGAATTCCCACCCTGTGCTTACTGCATCACTTACCGTCCCTTTGAATTGAGAGATAAAAAATTAAGTACCTGTTTTGTTCTTTTCATTATTGACTTCAGCAAGGTCAGACAAAGACCTAGGGATAGCAATAATTGAATTGACTTATTTAGAAATCACACATGTGACAGCTGAATTTTGTCTTCTTTTTTCTTTTGAGATGGGGGTCTCACTTTGTGGTTCCCCCATGTGTGGTCCAGGCTGGCCTTGAACCTGCAGCAATGTTCCTGCCCATTCTCCTGGCTGCTGGGATCACAGGTATGTGTACCACACCTGGCTGACAGTTATATTCTGAATTCTTCTGAGAGAAAAGTACGAATCAGTATTTGACATGGATACCAAGTCTTTTTGGAGAAACAATGATTGAAGCTGGAGGAAGATATTATATAAACCATTCTCGCCAGGCTTGGTGTCACGAGGCTGAGACAGGATCCCTGTGAGTTTAAGGTCAGGCTGCGCTACACAGTGAGCTCAAGGCCATACTGAACTGCATAATGGGATCCTGTCTCAAAACAAACAAACCCCCCTACATACTCAGAACGGCAGGATAAAGTGTTATTTGCCACAAACTGGAGATACTCTCACCATTCTAAGTTGTCGTCCAATAGGAAGAGCAGTTTCAAGACCACCACAATGAGCGCAACAGCTTGCACGTCATACTTCACAGTTTTTGCAGCTTTAGCGACTGGGTCAAACGTCAGGGAAGCCACCTCTCCCATCCCGGTCATCTCCGTCACTTGGTAGGTTAACCCATGCATTTCATCTGTTGAAGAATGAAACAGTCAAATGTGAATTAAATTCTTCGGCAAACTAGACTACAACAGTATGTGTATCTATAAGATAAGAGGCCACACAAAGGGCATGTACCTGAAACCCCAGCTACCCAGAAGGCTGAGGCAGGACAGCTCAAGGCCAGCATGGGTAACCTAGTGAGACTGTCTCAAAATAAAATTTAAAAGTGGGGAGTCAGGGGTGTAGCTCTGCACTCCTTGGGTACAAGCCTTAGTTCTGGGGAAAAAAGACCTGATGCTTCTCTAGGATCTGTAGGATCTGCTGGAACCTCAAGGTGCTGTCTGTATGAGAAACGTAGAGGCTGAGTCTTGGCAAGGCCCCCATTACTAGGCCTCTCCAAAGCCCCTGGCTTGAAAGGGCCACTTTAATATTTCAGTGCATGTACTTCTGATTCCCTGTAGCTACAGTCATGTTATTTTGTAATCTGGCTTGTTTCACTTTATTTTTATAACATAAAACATTTTCAGTCCCTTAAGTAACTCTTAAGAGCTATACAGTACACTTGGGCATGGTGGCTCACAGCCATAATCCCAGCACTGTGGCAGGCTGAGGCAGAAAGACTGCAAGTTTGAGCCCATCTTGGACAAACCAGTGAGCCTTGATTGGAAATAAAAAAATAAACTGGGATGGTGGCACACACCTATGATCCCAGCATGTAGGAGGCTGAAGTAGGAGGATCACCATGAGTTCGAGGGTAATGTGGTCTATATAAGCAAGTTCAAGGTGAGCCTGGACTTCACAGCAAGACCCTGTCTCAAAAAACCAAAAATTGGGCTGGGGAGATAGGCGTCTCCAAAGCTTCTGGCTTGAAAGGGCCACTTTAGTATTTCAGTGCATTTACTTCTGATTCCCGGTAGCTACAGTCATGTTAGACCTGCTACAGTCAGGTCTAAGTGCCTGCCTGCCAAGCAAAATGTCCCAAGTTTGATGCCCAGTACTGCATGCTGTGCCAGCCCAGAGCCTGATGGCCACTCAGACTGGGCATGGTGGTGCATGCCTATCATTCCAGAGCTGGGGAGGCTGAGCTAGGAGGATCATGGAGTCCAAACTGTGTAGTGAGACCAAATAAATATATATATAAAAGATTTTTTAAAAATAACCACAAATAAATAATAAAAGAAAGAAAAAATAAATAACAAAGGGCTGGGATGTAGTTCACTGTGAGGCCCTGGGTTTGATCTCCAGTACAACACACACACACACACACACACACACACACGCACAAATAAATAAAAACAAAAACAAAAAAGAATGCAGTTGGGCATGGTGGCACACACCTGTGATCCCAGAACTCAGGAGGCTGAGGCAGGAGAATCATTGTGAGTTCAAGACCAGCCTGGGCTACAAAGTGAACTCAAGGCCAGCCTGAACTGCATAACGAGACCCTGTCTCAAAAAGACCAAAAAAAAAAAAAAAAAAAAAAAAAAAAAAAAAAAAAAAAAAAAGAAAGAAAGAAAGAAAAGAAAAACAGCAATTTTGACTTATCATCAAATGAAAATGCAGAAAAAGATCTTCCAAATTCTGGAATCTTTAAAAATTTTTTTTCTTTTAATCATTCATTCATTCATTCATTCATTCATTCACTTATTTGGTACAGGGTCTTACTATGCAGCTCAGACTTGTAGTATCCTCTTGTCTCAGCCTCCCCAGTGGGGACTGTGGTGGCCAGCTCGGTGAAGGGCTGGCACGGCATGCGGTACTGGAGATAATACCTGGGTCCTTGTGCTTGCCAGGCAGACTCCTAGACTACCAAGCTATCTCCCCGGCCCCTAAATTCTGAAATCCTAATCAAATAGAGGCTCCTAAAGTCTCAACGAGGGATACATACTCCTTGGCTCTATAAGTGACTTCTTGAAAGTTTATTTTTGTTCTTGTATATGAAAATATGTCATTTATATTCGTACATATATTGCCACGTTTTTAATTTACATTTATAGTTAACACATAATCTTGTATATTTAATTTTCACATCTGCATTCCTACTTAAAATATTCAAGGGCATCATGGTGCTGTAGGCCTAGAGTCCCAGCTACCCTGGCAGCTGAGGCAGGAGGATCACTTGAGCTCAAGAGTTCAGGATCTGTGGATGTAACAGGTGAGACCCTTGTCTCACAACACAATGGCAAAAACAAAGAAAAAGACATTAAATTGCATTTTGATGCTGCGTCAGCCACAACATAGCTATCCCACATTTGTGTTTTCCCTTAAGAATAAAAGCCTGCCCCACTCACATTCCCAGTCTAGCAAGAAGCTCAGGGAGGGTGCCAGCAGGGTGACCGTCCTGCCACGCTGGGGGCAGGCAGGGCAAGGCTCTTCCACAGCCGGGGCTGCTGTCTTCCACTGTGCACCAGGATAGGAGCAGGCTTTGATCTCCTTTCCTTTCAGGTACTGGAAGCCACAGATGTCATCAAGGGACAAAAATGTTAATGGCTTCTAGGATTTATTCAAGTCAGAATTGGTTACACAGTTGCAATAATACCTTACCCAACACTACTTTTTACAAAGCTGGTCATAGCAACGTTGAGAGCTGCTACTCCACTCCTCCTCAGCAAAACTGCTATAAAAATCACAGCCTCTCTCAAGCAGAAATCTCCCATGCCAAGCAGAATATTTCTGAACAGTGTCCCTGGAAGCATTTTTTTTTTCACTCTGTTTTAATAGGTTACACAGATGAATGAGTTCTATTTTGGCAGACTGCTTAAGCACTGCAGGGCAGGGGTGTGCGTTTAAGAAACAAACTCCCTATGTCGCCCAGGCTGGCCTTGAACTCATGGCAATCCTCCTGCCTCAGCCTCCTAGGTGCTGATGTGGCAAGTGTGTGCCACTATACTTGGGCATTTTAAATGGACTCCACTTTGAAAGGCCTGAATCCTTTTCAGAAAGGATGCCGAAATGAAGTTTCATGCTGCTATGCGGCACTTCTAGGGGTGCCAGTAGTCTGTGATGGGAAAAAGCTTCCGTCCCTGCTCATCACAGCCCTGCTGGTGGCAGCTCTTCACTGAGCAGCCCACACACTCACCAGGGAGGTTGGCTTCCAGCAGGTACTTCACGCACAGGATGTTGGGGTGGAGGAAGCAGTCTTTGGTGATGTCCGGAAATCGGGGTAAGTCCAAAAATGTGGCGATTTCAATGGTGTGTTTATAGATCTCCTCGTAGTCAGGCCAAGACTGAAACCAAAGGAGGTTATTGGAGTAGTCCTGATTTTAACATCATACATTATTGAATAATCTTTGTGAGGGAAATATGAGGAAGGAAACACCCACCAATCTTTACTATTTTAACTTAAGCAAACTTTCTTTGGAGATGGGGTCTCATGTATAGCCTAGGTCAGCCCTCCTGCCTCAGCCTCCTGAAGGCTGGGATTACAGGCGCACACCACCACACGGGGCTTAATTTACTTATTTTAAAAAGCAATGAGACTAAATTAAAAAGCCACTAAAGATGTTTGTCTCTGAAAATTCTTGCTGGCTCTACTCATGGTGTATAGAATGAAAGTGTCACCCTGGCTCTGAAAGGTCAGCTGAGGGACTGAGTGGAGACTTGGGAGTCACAGCACTGCCTAAATGGCTCTAACATACACTAGCTGCTCACCCCTTTCTCCTGTGTGCAGCCCCCTGGGATGTGATATTCACATGCTTCTACTTGAGGTAAGACCAGGATCTATGTCTAGTGGTTGCAAATCCATACTTAATTTCACACAAAACTCCTTCATACACAATTCTTTTATGAGGTTCAGAAAAAAATCTTTTTTTCTGGGTAAATGCTAATACATTCTGTCCAGTCCTTTAAGATCCTCTGCTGTTCTTTGCCCATGTGCTTTCTATTTCTGCAACGCACGAACGGTTCTCATGTCAATACCACACGTGATTCTGCTCCTTTATCCATCCAGCCATGTGAAATATTAGGCACAGAGCCTATTCTATGTGAGGTATTCTGGGAAAGAGGGTGAGATAAGACTGAATGAAGAGGTCGGGGGATGGCTCAGTAGAATAAGCGCTTCCCTGGCAAGCGCAAGGGCCTGAGTTCAATCCCCAGTTCCGCAAAAACAAAACAAAACAAAAAACTGAATGAAACAGACCCTCCAAGGAGTTTACAATGTAGAGGGAAATGTGCAAAACCAACTGGTGTGCAACACAGGAAGCTGCTCGGCAGGAGCAGGATCAATAGACGGCTCACAGCATCTCAGAACTGTTACTGGATGACCTGTTAGCACTGGTCCTGGCTATTCTACGGCACCACGGATCTGTTGATAGGACCTGAGCATGCTCAGCGAGTGATATTCCACAACAAAGCTCCGTACTCTGACAAGAATCTGCACACACTGTGGAAAGCCAGGTGCTACACAGAGTTTCCACAGCACTACTTGTATAAGCCCCCAACAGTAAGCTCCCCAAATGTGCATCAAGGACAGGAGAGAGCTACACATGTTGATACATAAGGTGTGACCACAAATATAGTAGGGTCTTTTTTGCACTGGGAATCAAACTCAGGACCTTGTACCTGGCAGGCAGGCGCTGTGCCACTGAGTTATACCCTGAGCCCAGTGACTGCTTACATTAAAAAACATGTTACTGTAAGACACACTGCCATGAACCCCTCTCAAACTCCTCTTTGATTCCCACACATTCATCCCATGGTGTGGGAAACTTGCCCTTTCTGCAGCAGCTCTGGAGTCCTCTTTCCTGAGTTAGCATATACTGTGCTGGCCTAGCTGCCTCGATATCTTGAATGGATCTGAAAGTTTCCCTTTCATGGTCATTTTGACTCTGAGGAAGAGCCAGAGGTCACATGGTGCCAGACCCAGTGAGTAAGGTGGATGAAGACACAGCGTTGTTTTTAGGAGCCATCTTTCTGCTGAATGGTGCTGGGAAGGATCAGTCACTATAGGTTTGCTCTCACCTGGTAGAGACCCTCAGGAAAAGGAGGAAGGGAAGGAGGGAGGCAGGCAGGCAGGCAGAGGATAAGCCGGGGACTGGATGGAAACCCTCAGCCTCCTGCCTCATTCGGGCTTCATCACTCTAACACAAATCACACAGCAATACCGAGGGTTACTCAGGATGGGGGTGGGGTTGGTGTGTGCGAAAACAACAGGGTGGGGGCGCACAGGCCTAGGAAACAGCTGAAGGAGGCTCCTCCTCTGAGAGCGCTGATGAGGGGACTAACAGGTTGGGTGGTGCCCTTTCTTCTCCCTGGTTCATGAGGGGTGCGACACTGCTCTGAGGCAACATGAGTCACCAGGGCACCAAGCCACTCGGTGGGTTTGGCCAAACCAGTGGGGCATCTTTTTAAGTCACTCAAAGACTGGAGAGTTGTTTATCAACATTGAGAAAGGTGCTGCTGTGCTTCAGAACGGATCTCCAGCTTCCTCTATGTCACTTCTTGCTGAGGATGATGAAATTTTCCCCACCCCAGGACTTGGACTGAACTGAGAGCCTTTACTGAATGACACCCCCAGGACCTTTTCACTTTTATTTTGAGACAGGGTCTCACTAAGTTGCTAAACTGCCCAGGTTGGGTTCTAATTTGCGATCCTCCTGCCTCAGTCTCCTAGAGTACCAGGATTACAGGCAATGCGGCACCATGCCCAGCTCAAAAGGACTAATTCTTGAGACATCTTAGAAACATGGCAAAGGACTGTGGCTGAATCATGTGTATACTACATAGCATCTGCTTAGAAACTGGTCTGAAGGTTGGAAATAAAGCTGTGGCTGAAAAGACTGAAGTGGAGTTCCTGTCTCTGAGTCCCCAGCAGAATAAACTGTACAGAGGGCAGATGAGTGTCTAGGCCCCACATCTTGCTTGTCCAGGGATCTGGCTGCCTAGCAGATACAATGTCTCCAAAGACACAGGATTTTCAGTTTTTGGCTTACTCAGCCAGATGAACTGAAAGCTTTTGACAGAAGTAAACAGAACTTCAGATCAGCATGGTCTTCAGAGCTCTTGCGTGAAAGATGAAGCAGCAGAAGAGGCAGAGACAGGAAGCGGTGGTGGTGGTGGTGGTGGTAGTGGTAGTGGAGGAGGAGGAGGAGGAGGAGGAGGAGCAGCAGCAGCAGCAGCAGCAGCAGCAGCAGCAGCAGCAGCAGCAGCAGCAGCAGCAGCAGCAGCAGCAGAAGCAGGAAGAGCAGGAGGAGACAATCTTCAAAAAAAAATAAGTAAATGAATGCAATGCAAAGCTGTGCACCAGGGCTGGGAATCAGGGCTCAGCCAATGGATGACGGAGCCGCCCAGCTCAGCAGCTCTGGGCCCTGCCTGTGACTCTGTCTTGGGTTGGGGCAGAGGTGGGTGGAACGAAACTCCTGGGTGGTGTGGAAAGGAAAACAGGGTGCTAAACGCCTCTGTGTCCCGCCGCCACTGCCCAGAGTTCAGGAGTAAGGTCAGATCCATGCCACTGGGAACAGGAGCCTTTAAACAAGAAGAACAGGACAAATTCCTTGGAGGAGCTCGCCTACGGTTGCAGGGTGGAGAGGGGCTCCCACTCTTGGAGGAAAGGTTGTAGTAAAGGTGTGTGCGGCTGGCTGTGATGCCAGAGATACAACCGCCACAGACACAGCAGCAGCACCGTCCAGGCAGGCAGCCCACGCATGTGGAGCTCCGTGTTATCTCCCAGCCATCTCCTTGCACAATTGCACCTTTTGTCATCCCCAGTGGAGGTTCTGCTGAGGGAGAAGCCAAGACGTAGCAGAGAGCGCTGAGACACGGAAGGGGAAGAAAAGGCTTCCTTTGTTCAGGAGAGCCCTTTCCATTTAAAAGTTTCAACACACCACACTAGAGTGAATGAATGCACTTTTGTGACCGAAAGCCTGGCACACAATGAAGAAAAGCCACTGTCAAGTAAATAAACAGCTCAAGCAGGCACCCAGGCTGCTAAAGGGACGTGGTGGGGGTAGCCTTCTGTGACACACAGGACAACAGCAACAGCATCCTTCATTACAATAGAGCCATCACAAGCTTAGTGTTCCTTAGAAGACCACAGGCTGCAATCAATTGTTCCAGCATGCATGAAACTCAGAGTGCCTGGGAAAGCATTTTAATTGAATTTCACAAATATTCCAGTGAGTTTACTTTCCCCCAGAAGCAATGCTTCGAGACAGGCAGAGACAAGCTACAGTTTCTGTTACACAACACAGGCTCCCGTGATAAGGCGGATTACAATGCTCTTCAGGGCCCAACTTCCTGCTGGACTATTTAAAAAAAAAAGCAAAGCGCCCCTCCCTACTCATTGTTGTTCAGAAGCTAAGACTCAGCTAAGAGGCTAATGCTCCACGCACCTGTTAATCCCAATTTACCACTGGACTCCCTGTGACAGAGGAAAAGGAATAAGGAATAGAACTATCCTGAGGAAGGGCGAAGCACTGTGCTATTTAAGGAGGGAGGGAAAATAAATCCCACACATTATGATTCATGCAATCATTCACCTCGTATTTTTCTGGCTGCTGGAATTATCATATCATGGTTGCAAATCTACCATACAGTAGCACAAAACACTTTTCACGTTCAAAGTCCCATCTTGTGGAAGTTTTCAGTGGCCACAGTACTTTACGGGTACACATTCTTGGGTCATGAGGGTGAACCACAGATGGAAACCTTATGAACACATACAGAGTGAAGAGGTGCTGGTCAATGGGGACTTGCCAACTGGATTAGAGAAAGTCACCTAATTTGGCCTCAGAATTAAAGCTGGAAAGACCTTTTGGATTTCATTAGGATCAATCTGTCCTTATTGGGCTCAGTGGCACATGCCTGTAATCCCAGCAGTCCAGAGGCTGAGGCAGGAGGATCCTCACAAGTTTGAGGCCAGTGTGGGGTATATAATGAGCTCAAGGCCAACCAGGCCTGCGTAACAAAACTCTACCTCCAAAAGAAATGCCTGTCCTTTACTCTGCTGCTTGTTGTGAAGCTGATCTAATTACACAGAATCACACTGAAGGAATTTAAAAGATGGTGTTCAGAAGAACAGAGAATCCCCAAACAATTTGTACGGACTCCCGGGAGGATTACGTGGTTACTGTGACATCTGAGTCCCTTTGTCACCCTTAGTTATTCTGGGAAATGGCAAAACCCATTATCCTTTTCTTTTTTTTTTTTTGTGGTACTGGGGATTGAACTCAAGACCTTGTGCTTGCCAGGCATCTCCCTGGCCCCAAAACCCATTTTCTATCTCCTTCCA